TGTATATATGTTTATATTTGAAAGTATATATATATATATATATATATATATAATATATATATATATATATATATTATGTATGTATGTATGTATGCGTGCCTAAATACTATTTAGGCATTTTTCGCAAGGTTTCACCGAAAGCAATAATTTTAGCTAAGTTGAGAACTAGAAGTTTCACGATTTTTCGAATGAAGATGTTGCCAATTGTGCCATAGTCCCGCGTCCAGAAAGAGGTGAGAAGTGGGCGCACACCCAACTCGCGCCACATAAAAGCCTCAGCAGTTGCCTCTCGCTAGACACAACGGAAACAACACTCGGAGAGAGAACAAAGCAAGCTTTAGCTTTATCTACATTTTCACGTCTTACTCTATCTTATTGAAGCGCTAAACAATAGAGAAAAATGGAGAACAAAGGTACTGACGCCCTTCCTGAACAGAAACAGAAGCTCCCGAATGCAAAGAGGATTCACTTCTCCCATTGCTGAGAAGGGACTTTTCTTCCACGATTCCTTCTTCGAGGATATTCGGAAGCACTTTGAGACAGCCATCGACCAAATCCTGGACACTTGGGGAGAAGCCAAATCCGTGAGTGATCTGATGAGTAGCTACAGACGTGTAAGAGATCGCAATCTGCAGCAGGAGAACCAAGTCATGGCCTTCAGCGAAGACGACCACAATCATAAGGTTAGTTCAACTATCTAAAATCCATGTGGTTCGCCAACTAATAATTTAAACATTCATTTACATGAAAGGAAATATGTTTCAAAAACTTTTCAGATTGAAGATTAGGTTTAAAAAATACAGGCCACGCAAACAGAGTATTTAGATACTCATTAATATAAAAATGAAAGACAAAAAACTAGTAAAATAAATACTACTCGATTCTATATACAGGTTGTACTAGATGTCCATGACTTCAAGAGTGGAGACGTTAAGGTCAGAGTGGAAGATAATCAGGTGGTGGTGGAAGGTCGAGTGGAAAAGGAAGAGGGCGACTTCAAGTCCATGAAAAGCTTCTGTCGACGTTTCAACTTCCAGGCAAAGTGGACATGGAGGCCGTGACTTCCGCAATGTCTTCCGATGGCGTGTTGACTGTCACGGCTCCGAAGATTCCACAGGCAGCATAAGAAAGCATATATCATTAACTGTGATTGTAACATAATCTTAAAGACAATGTATGTTTAAGTAACTACTTATTATTTAGGATAATATTAAAAAGGATAAGACTTTTTTTTTAATAAATTATATTTGTCTATATGCTTGTCTGATTTTACTTGCCTTCCTTTCTCTCGAACTTATCGAAAAAAGCATCGACTGTCATAGATTGCATAACAGATGGTTCTCCGAAAGTACTGAAGAAAAAAACAGTACAAATGCAAAGAGAAATCACCAGCTGTCACAGAGATTGCATAGCAGATGGTTCTTCGAAACTCTCGAGGAAAATACCTTTACCAAATGCAAAGATGATTCACTATTTGCAACTGTTGTGACCTGTGCCTTTGTGTCCCTTGATATAAACGATGGCAGCTTGAGAAAGCATATTTCATTAGCTGAAATAAGAAAATGTACGGTAAATTAACTTTTTTGTTATTGTGGATAATGTTGATATATATATATATATATATATATATATATATATTTATTATTATATTTTTTTTTTTAATAGAATAGTTTTGTTTGTAAAACGTAAATAGGATTGACCCGATTACTATGACCTATGCTTTCATGATTATTTTTCAATGAAATGAATCACATTGAATGTATGTATATAATAAATAAAAAATTATACATAGATAAACAGACACACATATATGTATGTCTCCGTGTACGCGTGCGAGTGTGTTCGTATTAGGCATTATATGTATATATTATGGATGTCTGCATGTGTGTATCTGTGTCCATACATATACTAATGTATATATGTGCATATATATGCACACACACACACAATATATGTATTTATGTATGCATTTACACATGTATGTGTAAACATATGTATACATATATGTATATATGCATATTTAATCCCTATATATACTTATATATATGCAGATATAGACATACAGATAGATATATACGTATATATAAAATAAATGTATATACATGTGTATGTTTATATATCTATATATATATCTATATATATCTATATATATCTATTTATATATCTATATATATCTATTTATATGTCTATATATATATATATATATATATATATATATATATATATATATATATATATATATATCTGCATTTGTACATAAACATACAGTGTATATATACATATATTGTCCTTATATACACACAAAGTATATTTGAGTGTGTGTGTTGGTATGTAATATTTACACATATATATACATACATATGTGTGCGTGTATATATATATAATATATATATATATATATATATATATATATATATATATATATATATATACACAGTGAACCCTCGCTATAACGCGGTTCACCTTTCGCGTTCTCGCTGCTTCACGGATTTGCATTGTGCATTGTGTTCTGCATTCTGATTGGCTAAACAGTTTTCTCCGCTTCTTCTCTACCTTGTTTGTCAATAACGTTACGGTTTAATATGTACATGTACGTAAAACAGTTTGCCAAATTTAAGTTTGCAAATTTTCTCTAAAACCCATGAAGCATTCAGTTCGTATTGATGATTAAAATTATTATTTTACAGTACAGTTGTTATTTGTAAAAAACGTTTATACAGTACTTTTATTTGTTAAACAAATGCTTGGGCCTGTAAAAGGTTTTGTTCTTTGGTTTCAAAGTATTGTAGAGTATTTCATTGTATAATAATTGTAAAAAAAATAAAGGTTACTACTTCACGGATTTCGCCTATCACGGGTTCTTTTTGGAACGTAACCCCGGCGAAAAGCGAGGGTTCACTGTATGCATTTGTTGTGTCTCAGTGTAAATGATGCCTTATAGATGATGGAAAATATCAGTTCATTACAATGCCCAGTAATGAAGCATTTGTCGCATGATTGGATCGTATGAATTCATCTTAGTTTGAGAACTAGAAGTTTCACGAGATTTCGACTCAAGATGTTGCCAAGCATGCCATGATCCCGCGTCCAGATGGAGGTGGAAAATGGGCGCACACCCAACTCGCGCCACATAAAAGCCTCAGCAGCCGCCTCTCGCTAGACACAACAGAAATAACGCTCTTTGAGGAAAGGAAGCTCTTGCTTTATCTACATCACCGCAAGACGTACTCAATCTTACTAAAGTGATAAACGATAAATATGGAGAACAAAAATACTAACGCCCTTGCTGAACAGAAACCAGAAGCCCGAATGCAAAGAGGATTCACTCTCCCATCGCTGAGAAGGGACTTTTCTTCCACGATTCCTTCTTCGAGGATATTCGGAAGCACTTTGAGACAGCCATCGACCAAATGCTGGATTCTTGGGGAGAAGCCAAATCCGTGAGTGATCTGATGAGTAGCTACAGACGTGTAAGAGACCGCAATTTGCAGCAGGAGAACCAAGTCATGGCCTTCAGCGAAGACGACCGCAATCATAAGGTTAGTTCTTCAATCTAAAATCTACGTGGATCGCAAACACACTGATTTAAACATTTATTTACATAAATAGAAGTTTGTTTTAAAAATATATTCAAATTGAAAATTAGCTTTAATAAAACGATATAGGTCAAGCAAACAGAGTATTTGAATATTCAGTAATATAAAAATGGAAGACAAAAACTAAATAAACACTACTCGATTCTATAAACAGGTTGTACTAGATGTTCATGACTTCAAGAGTGGAGACGTTAAGGTCAGAGTGGAAGATAATCAGGTGGTGGTGGAAGGTCGAGTGGAAAAGGAAGAGGGCGACTTCAAGTCCATGAAAAGCTTCTGTCGACGTTTCAACTTCCCAGGCAAAGTGGACATGGAGGCCGTGACTTCCGCAATGTCTTCCGATGGCGTGTTGACTGTCACGGCTCCGAAGATTCCACAGGCAGCATAAGACTTATTTCATTAACTGAAACTATCATTTAATCTTAAAGACAATGTATGCTTAAGGAACTATTCATTGTTGTTTTTGGATAATGCTTTTGCTCTTTTTTAAATAAATTGTATTTCTTTACATGTATGACTTTACTTGCCTTCCCTTTCCGCAAAACTGTTTGGATAACAAATGGTTACCTAGGTAGGAAGTACTTGAAATACACATGTACAAATTCAAATTCAAATTCATACCAATGGTATGTCTTTCTATCTTTCCGTCTCTCTATATATATGCATGTGTATGTGTGTTTGTGCGCGCGAGCGGTTGTACATATAAATATTTGTATACTTGCATTGTCCTCAAACCCATACACACAAAGTATGTTTATGTATGTAGAGGCGCATTTTTGACCGCAAGATAATTCAAGATTTCTTGAAAAGTCTTGAAACCTCCTTCTTGGTCAGATATCTTGGTCTGGTTTCGTAACCAAACCAAGCATTTTCTAACTTCCTCCAAGAGGAAGTCTGCTACACTTTCAGGACGTCATAATGATAAAGAAACCGCCAACATGGCCGACAGAAATGAATGATAACGATGAAGTTCTCGTGATAATTTACTTATTTTGTCGCCAGTAGATGGTTTTATATACAAGCAAGCTTTATTTGTGCCTACCAGAAGTATTAAATGAAGTATATTGATAGCTTTATTATTCTCTTGTAGAAAATTACAGCTATTATAAACTGTATTATGCCTATCCTGGGATG